CTGATTAGCTCGCTTACGCTTTGGTCTTGACTGCCTGGTGGTCGTGACACAACTGGTCACACAGAGACACAGCCCAACTCTATTGTCCTTTTGAATCAGAAAAACTGTCCGATCAATATTTTTTACACATTTTTTAGAGTAGATTTTTAGATGTTTTATTTTAATATCTTGTTCACATGACTGCAGTTTAAAGGAAATGACTTTTTTGTATAATGAGATTGGATTTTGTTTTGTTTCCAGTTTCATTTATCTTAAATGGAAATCTAAATAAAAATCAATCAATAGCCAATGTCTTTTCCATAAGATTTTCTAAATTTTGCTTTTTCTTTCAAAAAATGTTGAATGTGCTGTTGCAATTCAGTGAAGCAACCATCTTATTGCAAACAACATTTTTGAACCCTTCAAGTCTGGTTTCAGACAATTCCACAGCACAGAAACTGCCCTTTAACTAGTTAGTGTTAAAGTCACTAATCATTTTCTTATGTCCTCTGATACTGGTTCTCTATCCCTATCCTTCTTGAGGTCAGTGCTGCTTTTGACACTCTTAACCAAGACATCGTACTTTCTCGTCTTGCGAGTGCGTTTGGAGTTTCTGACGTTGCCCTTTTTAAAATTGTTTAATTCTTACCTTACTGATCATCGACACTTTGTTTCTCTTCAGTGTTTCTGTTCTAAAGCTGGGTTGTTTAAGTCTGGTGTTCCTCAGGGCTCGATACTGGGCCCCCTACTATTCAACATTTACATGTTTCCACTTGGAACAGGTAACGGGTCTATTCCATTATTTTTACATCAGTTGTAGATATTCATTCATCTATCTCCAATTGCAACTTAGTCCAATAGAGAGCAGCAATGAGCAAGAGTCTTGTCTAAAGGACACTGGGTACAGGGCAGGATATACCCTGGCTAGGATGCCAGTACATTGCCGGGCTCATACACACTTTTTCGGAGGACAGATCTATGAGAGCTAGTCTTTGAACTGTGGGAGGATTACAGAGCAGCCAGAGAAATCCCAGGGTAAGTCCAGGGAAGTCACAGGAAAAAGTGATACACAAACCTGTGCTTGTTTACTTAGGTGTAAAGTGCTCTTTGTGTTATGGAAAAAATGACAAAACAAAACATATAACAAAAGAAAAAATACCCTTTCTTCAGGGATTTCACTGCTAGGAGTTTATAAGAATACCAGGCCTCTGTGTTACAGCACACAGATAAGATTATTAGATTTAAACACAAAGAAATGAACTATTAACTGTCAATAAATTGAGTGCCATTTTATATACCCCAAAGTCTGCTCCTGGCTCCACTTGATGGACTGGTAAGACTCCATTTTCAAACCATAGTCAGGGTCTGCAGACTAACAGAAAATGGCGGAAGAGACAGGAGACAAGGACAACACTGTGGATCCACAACAGGGACGACATAACTACAGAAACAGCCCCTACAGATATGAAACTACCAATACTTATTAATGCTAACAATAGTGAAACAAAAGAAAACGTCCTTTTTTTCCTGTATTCCTGGGATGACGATACTGAATCAGGTAGTTGAAGAAGGATTCTGACAGGTCACACCAGGCCAAAATCGAATCCAGGAGCTATGAGTCAGCAGTGGTAACTGCTGTTGTAAATAACTGTAATTGGAAAAATGAGGGAAGAGCCAACACAACGCCAGAGGGCACACAAACACACTCCTCTGAATTATTGTCTTCCTCTAGTACAGCTGCTCTCCGTTGTTTTCTTGGAACTTCAAGGTTATTAAGCTCGAGGCAGTTTGCACAACAGCTTCCCCTTGGTTTCACCACGCCCTCACAGTGCAGTTAGTGTGCTTTTCCGTTGCTAACCACAGCCTTTCTTTTCTGTTCCCATTCACTGCTCATTTACTCTGCCTTTACAGAGCACTTTGCAATCATGGGGAGAACATACAAACTCCACACAGACAGCACTCCAGGAATTGAGCCCAGGGCCATAGAGTTTGCGTGAATACAGGGAGGACATGCAAACTCCACACACTTTAGGCTTAGGGCCTTAGGGCCTAAGTGCCGTAGTGCTGCGAGGCTGCAAAGCTGACCACAGCATCAGCGTGCCATCCTATTTATAATACATCAGTAAGAGGGCTCATTACTTTTGTAAGTCCTTATATTTTTCCACTGTCACTCACATGCACATCAGAGGATGTTAGATTGATGTGTTTGCAGTTCAGCATCTATGGTGACTTTCACCAATGTTGTTTTTTATCAAGAAACTGTGTTTCATGCTTTTTTTTCAGAGCACAGAGGACTCACAGGAAGTGAACAAGATGACATCACAAGATCCAAAGCCCGCCCTCTCCACCACGTTCTTTGGAAAAGATTTGTGAGACAGAAACAAGTCTCAAAAAACCTGCCCGATCTATGTTTTGGTCGAATTGCATAAAACTCTGGGATAAAACTGGGATTCAGTGAATTTTTTACTTGAACTATGTATTAGCTATTAGCACACTCTTACAGGGTAAGTGGCCAGCTTGCTTCTCTAATGGGCATGCATGAATTTACTGAATTATGCTGAATTTACAATGATGTTTTGTTAATTGTAAATGCAGAGCTATATGCATCATGAAATTTAAAGTAGTTAATTCTTTTTATAATCAGTTTGGAAAGAAACACATTTTTTACCTGTATGTCTCTGGTAATTTCTGCATATTGCATTTTCAGAACTCCTCCTCCTAGACAAACAAGCCATTTCAGCATTACATGTATTGTTTGAAATATTAGAGTGATTTTTAGTCTGTAAATTGCTAGGTTTTGGTCAGGCAAAAATCAGCATATTAGGCTGTAACTTTCCAAACCGATGAACTACTTTGTATAAAGCGCTCTATGAGTTTGTGTTCAGATGTTAGATTCTGTCTTTTTGGCTGAAACTAGAAACCTGCTGCAACATGGTTGAGACTTTTCCATTTTGCTTAACTGAAATTTATTTGATATCTTCTATATAAAAAGTTTAAAACAATAGTTTAGCAAGTCTTGATTGTAAACTTTGATAGATTCATAGTAGATTCT